ATGAGAAGCAGGCCACATGACATTTTGAGCAAATTTTCGCAGCTTTCGTATCGAGTTTGTGCAGCTGTGAACACCTCTGCATCCTCAGCAATGTTGTAAGAGAAGCGGTTCGTCATAGAGGATTCTGCGGATGCTCCATCATGCTGATGGGAGGACCTTCTTCGCATGAAGATCTTGCCTTGGGATTGACTTTGGCTTCTTATCCACGTCGACCCACTGCCTCCTTTATGTGTGGTTTGAGCCGACCATCCACTTTCCATGAACGATAACGCCACTATCCATCCAACCAAAACGACGGCATCTGGCAAAAATTCCCTGCATACCTCCCACGTCTTCTCCTAAACTCATCCGTCAGTTCATGTGAGACGCATCGACCTGGTTGGTGGGCCTTTACAAGATTGTGAACTGCACGACCTATGGTCATATCAGAGCGGCCCGTTTTCTTTGCCACCTGCAGACTCCCCTTGAAGAGTACCTCCACACGTTCGAAATCGATTGGACGTTGGACGATTGGACGAAGGAGGACGTTGGCTCATTTTCGAAGTTGTAGTTTCCTTAGCGGACATTTTCGAGTCCAAGTTGGCAGGTCCGATCATTTCTTACAAATTGTCCTCTCGTAAGCATATATTCAGGCGAGCCTCTCTTGCCGAATGTACAAGACGGAATTTGTGGAGGAGACAGTGGTGAACATTGATAGAAACTAAAAGCATTATCTCAGCTTTGGGATACCCTCGGATGGTGATACGTGAATGTATGGCGATTTACCCTTGCCCCTACATATGGTCCCAAATAACCCGCTGAAGTCAGTTGGGTCGAAAAAATCGGCATTCATGTTGCGACCTGATATACCTGCATATCCAATACAGGCGCATGACGGCTATAAGTCTTTTAATCCAAGCCATCGCCGCTTCCGAGCACCTTTCACCGCACAATATTGAACGTTGCACTGTTTGCGAGGCAAGCGTGCCTTTTGCTTCCCTAGAGGAATATGCTCCTCATTCGCTCAATCAAACTGGTCATTTCTGCTGTCTGAAGAATCGGTCTACATTACCCTGTGAGCACTTTCGAATAAACGCTTATCCGTAGCAGAACACCAAGTATTGACACCTTCCAAGTGAAGAGCAGAAAGCTTATCAAACCCAGTCCTTCATCCAAGCACTTGCAGATGACTCCTAACTTTAACTATACTAACACAACTATAACTTTTGACTCTCCTACTTTTACAGCAAATCCATGTTGTGGTCGATGTGTTTAGGTTCACCCCATTCCAAGAACCTCACCTAGAATGCATCACAGGGAAGCACTCAGATATTACAACAAAAAAAAAACACTCAGAAGTTACAAAGAAGCTATTAGAGTTTAATTCGATCTGGAAAGTTCACCTCAATCATTTTATCTTCGGATGACTGAGCTGTCGCCAAAAATTCCGTCAGTTTGTCAGTTGTCGTCAACTGGAAGAAGGCGGTGCGCATGAAATAGTCGATGAAGGATACCAGCTCCACTATGTTCTCTTCTTCCTGGAAACTCAACTATTTCTTTGGAAAATGTTATTGGAGGATTCTCATGGTGACTGAAAAACGTTACCGGTCCTTATGGGAAGATGAAACTTCGACGAACTTTGTTTCTAATCTTTGTTTCGAATATCGGTATTAATTCATAAAACTAAAATCTTACCCTCTCTTCAACCCTCACTAAACAAGGGCTAGCACACAGAAAGCATATGGGCAGCTTTTGCACTTACCATCAAATACTTTTCGAGGTTTATTATGTTTATTCCTCGTTGGACTTTTCGAAAATAGTAGGCTTGTCCACGTGCGGTAACATCAACACTCATGAGATGCAACATTTCTTCAGTGACTCTGAAAAACAATTTGTGGGAAAGCCGCAGTAATCAGGACAGTTATGTAGAGCATCATTAATAGTTGGTAAAACCTAAAGCGAAGGAGAGTGTGCAGCCGGGCAGTGCTCTCAAATCTAACCGTTTCGAGTTCCTTGGAGTGTTTAATGGAGGAAAATTCGGTGCTTCTAGTTCTATGGAGAAACGGGAGACGGGCGTTAGGAACGATTTTGGGTAATCGATTTGCCGCACGCGGTTGTCGCGGACCACTCATTCGCCGTTGTTACAGCTCTAGCGTTCTTCATACAGCTCGATCGATATGCGATCATTATTTTATGCATAATTCTACTATTAGTACTTTTGTTCTTGTATTTCTTACCTACTGCTGCATCCTGCTACATTCCTTCGCGCGCGACGCCCCTCTCACCGCGAGGCGACCATTTCGTTCCTAACGCACCACACCCATGGAGAAACAAATGAGCTTGACCTGATTGAACTTGGAAATTGCATGAACCCCAGGAAGTTCATGCATTTTAATGGAATTAATAGGAAGCTCGGTTGGCTCAAG